TTGTGATCTATACACACCAGCTCTTTCCTTAGGATCAGAAATACTGCACAGTCTTTCTTCATACTTATTACTAGGACAAGCAATAATTAGATGATACAAGTAATGTTTAATTAGCAATATGTATTTTAATTGATGAAGGCAATATTAGGAGAATGTACACAAAAATATTTTTAAAAGAATTATTGTCTTGACCTCTGGTGACACCTGTTTTTGTTCTAATATGGTCATTTATTAAGATTTTGTTTTAATTTACTTTTATCTTTTATATATGCGTTGAGTGGCTCTTTTATATTATTATTTTAAATACAGTTTTAAGAAAAAATAATGTTTAAGACCATAGGAATTAATGTGTGTTCATTCACTAGTTTAGTCAATGTTTTAATTTTGTATGCAAATTGTTACTTATTTCGCCTGTAAATGGTATGCATTTGGTGATTAATATGTTTCATCATCATAACAGCTACAAAGTGATGACTCATCTTTCACTCAAGTAAAAATTAAGCAGATCTCTGAGTAGCAACAGATATCTTTTTTTTTTAATTGAAGTCAGAGAGAAGGCTGTGATCTTATCAATCACACCCTGGACTTCCTCTGAGGGCTCATATCAGATCCAATTATCCCGAAAATCTGACAGCTCAAGAAGTCAGGCAATCATATATATTCATGCAAAATCTAAAACATAAATCATAAAATAACTTCTATCTAGGATGGCAACCAACACAGTATATTATAGATTTATAGGTTCTATTAGATGCTTCTGTAAAGATTTGCATTATTAAATATACTTAACTATAAATGAAATAATAAAAATGCATTCTATATGTTCAGTATGCTATTATTTATAAACTCCAGCTGTGAGATATCACTATGGCTACAGTAATAGATGATCAAATCAGTTACCTATGCTATGCTGGAAGCATTACTGATTTAAAGAATGCAATATGCTTAGGAAAGAAAGAAACAATTTCACAATATAATCATCAACCTGTTCATAAAATGAGAGACAGATGAGATGAATATTTGATATGGCAGATATAAAAACAAAATCATTCTGCTGGACAATGACTGATAGTCACTCTTTGAGTTGAGAGAATGAAATGCTTTTAAATGAATAAAAGAATGAGGGAATAGAATGAGTAAAAGAGAGCAAGAAAATTCAGGTAGAAAAACTACTGTGTTAAAGTGACCATGCGATATTTGTTTATGACCTCTCCTGGAAGACAAAGCTGAATAAAACCTACTCATTTGGCATTTTGTATATAAATTTATTTCATTTTCAGGTCGAAACAAAGATAAAAAGATACAAAAGATCAGGCCACTGTCCTTAAGAAACAAGTGTGCATGTGTGTACATTTATTAGTTGATTTAGTAAATATATACTGAGCGTGTTTAGGTGCCAGAGAACACAAACATAAATAAGCAATTTCCCTGGCCTTAAGAATTAATAATCTAATGGAGAAAACAGTCCTCTAAATAAAATATAACAATTTAGTGTAACTCTTGAAACAGAAGTACATAGAATGTACTACAGGAATATAATGTCATAGCAGTATTTTTCCCAGTTATTCAGAAAAGTTAATATTTATATCTACACCAAACTTTAGTTTTTATTGACAGTTAAGTGGCAGAAATTTATGAAATGCTACAAAATTCACAATCTGTTTAGATGACCAGGGGTAGATCAGTGGACATAAAGATATTTAATTGAAATATGATTCTTCAACTTAAAAATGATTAATTACAAGTTATTTAAATCTCTAACTGCCACAAGAAAATATAACACTAACTAGTAAAATAAAAGCTGTGTTAAATGACACCACTGACTGTCGAATAAGCCACTGAAGTGTCACTTCTGGGACAATAATGCCTGAAAGAGCCATTCTTCTGTTTGTGGCATAAACAACTCAGGGATTCAGGTAAAAATCTCTCAGCTTCCTTGACAGGAAACTCACCAGTGAGCCAGGGAGAAGAAACACACATGGTCTTGGGAGTGGGTGAGAAGATCAGCGAGAACCACGTGAGTGACCTTGGAACATTCTGTTTCTTGTATTAGATTACCAACATTTCCTTCCCATTGTCAGTGACACCATGGAAAAGAGGCTCAAGCTTCAATTTAATTCAAGAGAAGGCAGGCTGAGATGGCAATTTTCCCCAAATTCACAGAGGGCAAATACTGTGACCCCTCAAGCGGTGAGGTATACAAAATTCTTGAAAGAATTAGGCTTAAGGTCCAGCCCCACCTCCTGCCATGGATCACTGACAGAAGAAAATCCATTTAGTAAAGAAAACTGAAATGTCTTCTTCACAGCTTGGAAACATTACCACCTAAGGCACCTGAACCACTCGAGTTGAACCACTTGAACTGATTCATGTATCTCAGATACTCTTCTGCCATTCCCTTTTATCTATGCTTTCAATAAACATTCTTTAAATGCTTTCCTTGTCCCAGATCTGGGGCTGCACACTTTCTTAGAGGGCCAGATAGCAAATATTTTAGGTTTTGTAGGACATGATGGAAAACTAAAGAAATTTCATAGGTATTTACATAATCATTTACACACATACCATTGTGCATAACATCATCTTTAGCAGAAAAAAAAGGTCCATAAAGCCAATAGTAGTAACTCATCTTATTCTCTCAACAATTGGGAAGGTATTATCATTATTCTTGTGTTTAGATAAGAAAATGAACTTCGGTCTAGTCATGTGACTTGACTGTATTAGTAGGTTGTAGAGCCAACATTGGAAGGTATGTCTTCTGGGCAACAAACAGTACAACAATATCTCCAGATCCCCGTATGTAGGTCTCTCATATGCACAGTGATGAAATGATTTTCACCAACTCAGATTATTAAGTGTATCCTATAATGTTCATTATATCTTATTAATAATTTTAATTAGCATTGCTAACTAAATAGTAAACATGTATGATTTCAGGGACCTGACGCTGTTCCAGGTTTTCAAATTCTTGACGCTAATTGATTATCACACACTCAGTGAAGAAGCTACAGTTATTTATTCATTTTACAAAGGAGGAAAAAAACTGAAGAAGGTTAAATAAGTTGCCTAGGATCCCATTACTACTCTGCAGCAGATCTGGTGTTTCAGACCAGGCCTTCCAGCTCAGTGATTTTGAAACTCAAGTCTCAAAGCTCTATTTCCAATTGAGATTTTTTTTTTCCTTGTTCATCCTTAAGGATTGCTGAGGAATAACTGCTCTCTTTCTTCCATTTGTTAGCTCAAAGGAATCACATGATTCAAAGACTGAAAACTAAATGTAGTTGTTAAAAGGATGAAATCAATTGTAGTTTCTCTGACAGATAAATTATGAAATTTATGAAAAGTCAATGAGGTGAAAAATGAAAATCATTCCAAACAAAAGCAAAGTTTGAGAGCAGTCACATTAATGATGTTAACAAATCTTTATATGTAAACATTTGTATGGAAAGCATCCTAAGTGTATGTCTTTTGTCAGCACGAACACTGGAACAGAAAAAATGCAAGAGTTTTCCAAAAGGTAAATTCAAACACAGCCCTGAAAAATAGATAACACAAAGAACTGTCTCCTCTGGTTCCCAGCACCAAGCTTTTCCTTCTACAGAGACAGATGCATACAGTGAATACAATCTCATGTCATTATATGTGATCATCACTCCTGCTTGACGCAAATAGGTTTCATGTTACCTGCCAAATCCTAATGAATTACAGTGAAGATCTTCAAGGCTGGGTTGGCAAGGCCCTCTAGGCCAAATCTGAATTCGGTGGGATGAGTGCCACAATTGATTAGCAATGTCTGCCCAAGTCTGGAGGAAGGGTGGCACTGTATTCACAGACCCATCCACCCACGCAATCTCATTTCTCTGATTTTGTGAACACAAAATTTCTGAGTGTAATTGGAATTTTATGTATCTTTCTGTACAAAGAACAGCCTGTACAGAAATCCAGCTCTCTTGACCACTATATTTCTGGTTTACCAATTAATCAGTTGGCATGCTGGCTTTAACTAGACAGTAGCATCCATTCTCAGTGAACAGACAAGGTCAATTTTCTAAGTCAACAAACACTGAAACACAAACCCCAGAAGACAGTAAAGTCACAAAGCTTATGTGACCTCTTAAGAGTCGAACAGCAGGAGGGCCTTCCTGCAATCAGATAATTTTCTTGATTTCAGCAAAGAATATTTCAAATCAAGTTAGTTTCTATTCCCAAATTTAATAACTTCTTTCTTAAATTTTTCTTCACAGGTCTGTTACTGCCAGTCTCAGATGACAGTTCATCCTATACATACCCTCGCATCACCTCTCATTATGATGTTTAAAACCAGTGGGAGTATCTTGAGTATTCTAGTCATCTCTCAGTCTATGATTTTATCAGCCTGTCAACATTACAGTCTGGTTCCACTAACAACGCTTCAGTAATGGATCTCAAGTATGACAGTGGTCCCATGAGATTTTCATGGAGCTCAAAAAGTCTCATTGCCTAGTGATGTCACAGCTGTTGTAACATCACAGGGAAAAGTATTACTCAAGTGCTTGTGTTACTCACTTGGGTAAACAAACCTACCACACTGCCAGCTGCATAAAATTATACAATTATATAGTGCACATACAACATAATGATAACAAATATTACTAGCTTAGATATTTACTACATTATGCTTTTTATCAATAGATACAAAGAAATACAACTTTAAAAAAAGTTAACTGTAAAGCAGCCTCAGGCAGGTCCTTCAGGTGGTATTCTAGAAGAAGGCATTGTTATCATGGGAGATGACAGCTCCATGTGTGCTATTTCCTCTGAAGACCTTCCAGAGGTAAAAAATGTAGAGGTGAAAAACAGTGATACTGATGATCCTGATTCTGGAGACTCAAGCTCATATGGGTGTTTGTGTGTCTCTTTCTCAAACCCAAAAACATTCAGCAGTATTCCAGCTGCGACAGCATCATTTCTTTTTCAGGTCTTCACACCACCACAACTAAACCCATGTATGCTATTTTTACCTTTCGTACATTCGCCAACCGATTCATCATCAAGGACTCTTCTCGATCATCATCATCATCCAAGTCGAGCATCGGCATGCCAAAGGGGTCGATGATGCTGCAGCACCTGGAGCCTTCATCTCTTGGATCAAAAGGGTCCACGATTATGGGCTCAGTTCCTTTTATTTCACAACGACAGAAGGGGCAGCCCTGGCCATCTGACTCCTACACAAATACAGAAAATGCACTGATTGGTTTTTGCTCAAGACAAATAGTACTGAGAAATGTCAATGTCCTCCAACTACAAGAGAGTTGTGAATCGGAGGTTTTTAGGTAGGAGGTAGGGAAAGATTTTTCTTGAAAAGGTAGTGGGAGCAAAAGAAGAAGCCAACAAAATATATGCCAAATGTTCAATATTCCAAATTTCCCAAGAAGAAACATTTCTTTAAAAAAAAAAGTTCAATTTGCCAAAGAAAAAGAGCCTCGTTATTTTCCTGAACATTCACTTACAATTTTAATGTATGAAAGCTTTTGAGTCCTACAAAAAAAAAAAGCAAAACTGGAAATTGAATCACGTCCATCTGTATGAAATGACAGCAGTGGTAATTAAACATTCTATAAAATGCACATTTTGGTAAAAATTCATAATAAACAAAGCAGTGGTATCAGTGAGAATAATCTGTCTCAAAATCTACTTAAGAAAAGTGTATGTAACTATGACTAAATATTTCCATTTTAGTTGTCCATGTATTTTACAACCTTGATTTCTAAGCAATTAATAGGAAAAATTAGATATCTAAATGTATATTCAGAATTTATCTGTCCTGAAAGCCTGTCATCTGGTCACAACTCATTTGGAATATAATACTCTGTGAGATATTAAGTTTTGCTCCTTATCTTGCTTTCAAACTAGATACTGCAAAAAGATTTGTGCAAATATATTTGGGCTGAAAATGCATTTACTGGTAATTATTGGAGGCTTTGTTCAAAGTCTCTCAAAATCATTTCTCAAAACTAACTACATTAAAAGTTCACAATTGGCAAGGAAATAGAAAAAGGCTGTTTTCTTGCCCTACAGAAACCAATGACTTTAGAGATAGATGGTACATGACATTCACTACCCTATTTTTGTTTTTTTATTATACTACTTTAGAAGTGTGTTATTTAAAAATAATCAAAATCACAAAATCACTTTAAAGAAGAATGGGATGAATTAGCAACATTTTAGAAATGAGACAAGGGATATAGAGAACTAACATCTTTAAAGAAGTTGTTCATTACTTAACTCAGGACTGTTCCATCTACTTGGCTTAATGGGGAATTAGTTATCTACCTGTCCAAAGTGATGCTTGGCCCAGTAGTGGAATAACTCTCACTGGACAACTATCCAGCAGCCACTCTGTGGCAAACCCTGAGATAGGCAGTTTATTCTTTCTAAGCTTTACTCAGATTAACAAGTTGAACATCTTTGTCAAACAAGTCAAAATAAGGAAAAAACTCTATGAACTGCTTAATAAAAATAAATTGCAACATTCCCTTATTCACCCTCTTTTATATAATGATGGAAATGGAAAGAAACTTAGAAATGGAATGGTAAAATAGTTGTACTAAGGTGGTATAAAAAACACACACATATCAATATTAGAATCCTTTGATGCTTACTGCCACGCATGTTCAGGTCTGATAGTTTGAAAACGCCATAACTATTTGCTCCATCATTTTACAGATTATAAAACCAAGACTTAATTCTATTTTTGATAACCTCTTCACATTGATATTTTGCAACACAGGAATAAATATTTAAGGAGAGTGAAATCTTCCTCCCATTTTTCGATAAGAACATTAAATTTAAAAGCATATTTAATATATGTTATCACCCAGGTAAAAATCCTCCTATAAAAGTCAAAAAGGGATCCATATTGTGTGCTGACAGTGGAATTTTCTTACAGAGTTATGTAAGACAATTTCAAAAAAATGGCTCCATTACATAAAAGTAAGCTGCAAAACAGTTCATGTTCTTTGGTCTTTAATGCATGGAGAATGGAAAGCAGAGCTCTCAGTCCTAAATGGACACTTTATTCACTCATATATTTTAAATATTTATTATAGAAAATTGTAAATATACACAAAGTTAGAATGAAAAGTACAATAAATTACTATGTTCCTGTCATCCAACTTCAACAGGTATCAATCCACACCCAACCTGGTTCCATCTATGTCTTCCCTTGCTCCCTTCACCCTTGGGTTATTTTGAAGCACATCCTACACATCACATAATTTCATCCATAAATACCATGGCATGTATCACTAAAACCAGAACAATACCTTTTAGAGACCTAACTACAATATAGTTATGATAACTAAACTTATTCCACTCAATCTAAATCATGAAAGTCTTATTTCTGAGCACAGTGTCTGGAATTGTAAGCCACTCGGTTAGGTTATAGAAGTTTCTCTTAGAACCTCCATGGTCAATTTACATGTTGCTTGAGTAAAGCAAGACTTCCAGTTTATGATCCACTTCCTCATAAGGGGTAACAGAAAAGACTGAGTTTGAAAGGAGGAAGAAGTGAAAGATAATAGTATCCTGTTAGAACAAAAAAAAAGACTGAGAACAGTTCCTCTGAAACTGAATTTAGACTTTTCTCTCTCTCTCCCACCCAAAAGCTTAATATGATACAAATTACTGGTGTGTGTTAGAGTAGCCATTAGAAGAATAAATACCACAAAAAATTTTCTGTTCAGCTTTATTTGTTATTAAGAGTTTGTATCATTGACCAGATCCATAAAACAGCTGCAGTAAACATTCATTATGATTTGCAAACAGAGATACACTGAAAGTGTCTTCTTAATGGTACTGAAAGTGTCTCCTTAATGGTACTTACTCATCACTCTTTCTTTATTAACAGACTACTGTTATATGAAAATCAAATTTAACCAGAAAGTCTCAAATGCTACTTTGGTTAGTCTGCTTAGATTCTGTCAGATGGTTGACTGAATACACATGAAGGATGTCTTCAATGGACATATAACTCATCAGGATTGTGCCTCGATAATTAAAATAATGTTTCTGTCAACATATGCTTAATGCAAGATCTAAGAATATGTGTTAACGAAAAATAAATATGGTCTTTCCTAGTCCGCAACATATTCCCATTCTGTGACTGTTAAGAGGAAGCACTCAGGACAACTATCTGTTCTAATTGACTCAAGTAGGTTTCACTTCTTCAAATAAGTAAATACTTCCAAACCAAGGGATGTGGAAGTTATCAGTGAACATTACATACAGCTGAAACTTAACTATGCACTGTGCTTGTGATGTAGTAAAACAATTCAGACTGGAATCTCAACTATTAATACTATAATTTATATGACTGTACATATAAATATAACTTTAGGTAAACTCAGAATAAATCGACATTGATTTAAAAAATAGAAAAAATATTTACACCTTCATAAAACTACTATTTCATTTCCCAAAAAAACCCTACGAAAAAAATCTAAATATTGTTCAGTACCATCTCATCTCATCATCATGTGTCAATCATCTTCCATATTCTGTTTAAATACTGCTAAGATGTACAGACTATAGCTTAAATACTTTCATCTAATATTTTTAAGATAAGCATAATATACAGTATAATTTATTTGCTTTCAGAATGACTTAAGCCAATTACTCTATACTTTCTCACATACACAATATACAGCGAGGTCCTATGTAATATTCAGGATCTTGTAAATTTGGAGTACATTCTATATTTTTACTGTATGTGTATGTATACGTGCAATTTTTCCTTATCAGTAACTTCTAATTTATATTACCTTGTTTTAGTTCATGTAGCACTGAAGCTACCATAAATCTTTTTCTAAATGTGGCAATAATATTTGGAACAATCGTGAATAAATAAATAAATACACTTAGTGTGGGTCCATTCTAAGCATTTTCAGAGCACAGTATCTCCCAAAGAAATTCAGTAACTCTTGGCTGAAAGAATAAATGAAAGAATAAAGAAGAACAGTTAACAGTCATCCCAGACAAAATGCCCCGGAGTGAGAGAAATCTTTGGTTCTGCTGTTCTTAATATTATAGAAAAAGGAAGATGATGATACTGGTGAGTCTAAACAATTCTAGTTTGGCTTTGAGAGGCCCATAAAAACATGCATAGCGGATCAGAAAAGGAGCACAAACATTCTGTATTAAGATACTTGGATTGGACACCCCGCTCCACCAATTACAGCTGTGAGACACTGAACAATTAACTTCATCTGATTTATAAGGAATAACGAGATAATGCACATTTTAAAAGACCATGTAAAGATTCAGTGAGATATATTAGTCCAAAGCTTAACAAAGTGCTATACAAATTCCAGCTGGCATAATTACAACAAAAATAGTCTTAAGAACAAAGAAATATAGTAAGAAAATGGAGAAAACATCTTAGCATTTGGAAACAAAACAACAACAACAAAAAACTCATGCTGGACATGGTGACATGTGCCTGTAGTCCCAGCTACTCAGGAGGCTGAGGCTGAATGATCGCTTGAGTCCAGGAGTTCTGGGCTATAGTGAGCCATCCTGATTGGATGTCTGAACTAAGTTCAGCACCAATATGGTGACGTCCCAGGAGTGGGAGACCACCAGGCTGCCTATGGAGGGGTGAACCAGCCCAGATCCGAAATGGGGCAGGCCAAAACTCCTGATCAGTAGCAGGCTCGCAACTGTAAACAGTCACTGCACTCCAGCCTGAGCAACGTAGCAAAAACCCATCTCTTTAAATAATAATAATAATACCAAAACCCCTCATATTTCCATAAGAATTCCATTCTGTAATGAAATCAATACATTTTCAAAGCTATAGAATTATCACTGTACAGATTAACATAATAGGAAATATGAGCTATCTCCTAAGTGATACTGTCCGTTACTATATAATAGGGACAATTATAACTAAAATTCTAGGAACTGTAGTAAGCACTATCTAAATATTAACCCACATTTTACCAACAAGAACACTGAGTATTTATATAATTTGATAAAGGTCACAACAGCTAAGCAGCACTAAGTAGGAAATCCACCAAGGAAGACTGTTTCAAGAGCCTCAGTATTTCAACACTATACTACAGTATCAGCATTCAGTGGGTCTTCAATCTCAGGTGCAGTCTAGGTTCAAACAAAGTTTAAAATAGCTGTTTGCTACTGATGATTCATAATGGAACAAAAAAAC